TGATTCCTAGTTTTTACTTCATTAAAAAATAATCCAGCCACTGAGCTAGGAACATGAAATTAATTGCTAGTCTACCCTTAATTGGTTTAGTGGTGGACTTGGTAGTGTTAGGTTAATGGTTGGACTTGATGATCTTAAAGGTCTTTTCCAACCTAAATGATTCTATGATTCTATACCTGTCTTCAAGCAATCCAGTTGAGATACTTGTGAGATTACTTGTATGCCAAAGCTGAGTACAGCTGAAGGGCTTTGATATGGGGGAAGAAGGGCAGTTTGCTAGCTGATAAACTTTGCTAAGTTGTAAAATTTCTTCAAATATGGGATTAATCAGATCTTCATTCTTTCAGAAAGAAGCTTTCACTGCAAACAATAGGTTTGCTTTTAAATATCGGCTATGCAAGAAGTAACAGCTATAATGCTGGTTCTGTTTGTTGATTCCAGCTTTGACAGGGGGTAAGGCCATATGCTCTGTGACTGTGATCAGTCTGTATCCAGGGGAAGCCTTGTGGCTAACATGAACTGTGTGTCAGTGTGATGTACCAGTGTTGGTGTTGAGACCCCAAAGGCCTTTCCTAGAAAAAGCTCTTTAGCTTCATTGATTGACCTTGGAAGTTTTCAAGGTGTAGGCAAATGCTCTAGTTCTTGAATGTCAGTGAAGATGGAAATGATGTGGTACTTATTTAACTCAGCGTGACACCTAGTGACTTGTGTGCCATTTAGCTGAACTACTACTAAAATGAAAAGCAGAAATATCGCTGTAACTGTTTGTTGACCTGGGTGGTGAAATGTGCGCTTTGTCCAGCTGCAGTAGAAAGACTGGACATGAAATGAGAGCTGCCACCTAAATGCCCCCTTCTTTGGGACAACTGATTGGATGTCTTCCATGATTGCCTTTCTCCTTTCAGTGTAACAGATGAAGTAGTCAGTGAGTAAAACGTGTTGTGGACAGTGCCTTGATTCTGATTTAGCACAACAGTGTAATATGAAGTATTTGGTGGTAATTTTTGTGAGCTGTACTAGCTGATTTTAGTGTGTTACTTTGTGGAAGGAATGTGTCTCTAAAGTAATGAAGAAACATGAGTGATCATTGAAGAGAATGCTTAGTGTTATAGAAAAGGCGGTTGCAGAACTGGTGCTCTGGAAGGAAGCTCATGGGGGGCTGGTGGTGTGAGGGGATGGTTTATGAGACTGCTTACTCTGTGAGCAGGGATGGGAGGAGTCGTATGCCATTGAAGAGATTATTGCTAAAACTTTTAGCAAGTTCCCAAACTAGTTTTAAGTGTGCAGGGGGGAGGAGAGCATGCATATTGGCCTGTAGTAAACAAGATGTACTGGCTTAACTTGATTTTTCTTGAATATCACTTTAACTGAGGAAATTGGAGTTGGCTCACATGGTCTTTAGAGCAATGTAGTTTGTTCTCAGAGTTGAGAGAAAACTAATGCTTACAGAGCATTGAGGTAAGTCCTCAGATGGTGCTGCCAGAAGTACTCTGCTAAGCTGGGGCTTAAAACTCTGGTTATGAATGTACACAGAGTTTTTAACCATGTGTGCATATTGTTACTATATATAGCTCTTTTGACTAGAAAGGCGTGTTGGCTTCCTTCTGCTAATCTAGGGAAGAAAAGAGGACACTTTGCCAGCATCTTCTAAGCAATAATGTGATACGTGGAAGTCTTACTCTCAAAGGTCTTAGGTTTAAAAGGGCTGCATGGCACCTTTGTCAGCACCAGTGCTGGAATTCTTAAAACCTGAAGATAGCCTTTTGATAACAAGAGTGCCAGCAAATATAAAAGACATGAACCATTGACAGCATCCAGGTGCCTGGAAGGTGGCACTGAGCTGCAGTGATGGTAACATGCTCCACTGTTGCGGGTTCTCAGCATGTGCACGTATGTACAGGTTTAGTTCACGCTGCCGTTTTTCTGGGCTGGTGCGTCTCCACTCTTACCTTCCCCTGAGAAGGCAGAGGGTTATTGAATGGTCTGTAATACTTGTCACCCTGGTTACACAGGGAGTGCTGTGAATGGCTGCTTAGGTATGATCATCTTAACTGTGCTACGGGAAGGCACATTAGTGTAAGCATATGCAACATGAATAGAAGAGGCCTGAGCTACTGAGGGGATGCCATGTGGGTTAGCATCAAGTTTCTGTTCTGACTGCCACTGTTTCAGCTTTACCCGCAAGTTTGTTGGCTATAGCTGCTTTCTACCTGCTACAGTTCAACGCAAGTGATGATCATCAAAAACAGTCACAAGTGGATCTCTTCCCAGTTCCTTTGCACGACTGGATTGAAAAATGTGCTGGGGAACTTTTTGGAAAGATGCCAAACAATGCCCATCACTAGGAGAAGCACTGGCAGCTGGTAACAGCCTTGAGTATGGGTGCCTGGAATGGTGTTTCTGCAGAATATTGACTTGACTGTATTTTTGAGGTTCTTGTACCTTCTTCGTGCCCCATTGGCTTACTTCTGCTCCTTTTGCTCTCAAGACTATTACTTGGGTGTAGTGTAGTTTTGCTTGCCTGGAGCGAGGAGATAACAGGATGGGCAAAGTTCCAGTGAGTGTGTTTTTAAGACAAAACAAAGTCTGTCCTAGGTACAGACCTGCTGTCTACAGTGATTACAGATTTGACTTGCTTTCTCCCTAGTGTAGACATCAACACAAATGGAAAGGGGGAAGCTGGTTGATATTTGCATTTTATAGCATTCTCTGTAGTTCAAACCAAACTCTTTGCAGAATTAAAATCTACCTATCAAACATTGACAGGGTTGAATTGGCATGCGAGATCTAAAAAGGCTTGGTGCTTAATGCTAACCAAAGTAGGTTTGAGCAGAAACATTTCAGTGGCCTGAGCTGGTGCTCATCATGACTTGAAATGTGCTCCACCTTTCCCCTTCGTGTCAGGTGCTGGGGAGGAGAGGGATACGCAGTGACGCAGCACTGACCCCAGCCTTCATGCAGCATGCAAGCTGTGCTAAAGGGGATGAAAGCTGCAGGGGGACATGCACTGAGGCGGTAGATCTGTGTTGGGTTTGTCTGCAGGCAACACCAGTACAGTGGCTGTGCCCAGGCACCAATGGGTTCTTCACTAAGTAGACTTAAGATTGAGATGTAAGTAGAGCCTGCAATGTGCGCACGTAGTCCAGAAAGCCAGCCGTATCCTGGGCTGCATCAAAACAAGTGTGGCCAGCAGGTTGAGGGAGGTGATTCTGCCCCTCTGCTCTGCTCTGGTGAGACCCCACCTGGAGTAGTGTGTCCAGCTCTGGGGTCCCCAGTACAAGAAAGGCATGGACCTGTTGAAGCAGGTCCAGAGGAGGGCCACAAAGATGATCAGAGGGCTGGAGCACCTCTCCTATGAAGAAAGGCTGAGAGAGTTGGGGTTGCTCAGCCTGGAGAAGAGAAGGCTCCAGGGAGACCTTATTGCAGCCTTTCAGTACTTCAAGGGGGCCTACAAGAAAGATAGGGACAAACTTTTTAGCAGGGCCTGTTGCAATAGGACAAGGTACAATTTTAAACTGAAAGAGGGTAGATTCAGACTATATACAAGGAAGAAATTTTTTACAATTAGGGTGGTGAGACACTGGAACAGGTTGCCCAGAGAGGTTGTGGATGTCCCATCCCAGGAAACTTTCAAGGTCAGGCTGGTTGCTCAAAGCCCCATCCTGATCTAGTGGAAGATGTCCCTGCTCATTGCAGGGGGTTGGAGTAGATGACCTTTAAAGGTCCCTTCCAACCCGAACCATTCTGTGATTATATCGTAGAGTCTGTCTCTCATTGTGCTGATGCTATTTGTATGAATGGCTTAAAGGCTAAAAAGCTGATAAATAGAAGCTGGTGGGAGGGAGGAGTGAATTGTGGTACTTGAAACTAGTTGGTAACAGTTTTCTGATGGAGTCCCTTGTTCCTAAGACAGTGACTAAGTTTGTAGTGGCACCTGCTGTTGGGCTTCTTAACATTCAAAGTGTTTGCTAAAAACCTTGGAGAAAGTAGAAGTGTGATTAGATGTCAAACACTGTCTTAACTTGGATCTAGTCTTCCAAATTGCAAGAACTGCAAGGAAGGTCTTCAGTTGTACTCTGTTCAGGCTGTCTTCAAGTGGACTGGTATATCTTGTGCTGCTCAGTGCTTAAAATTAGAGCCTGTCTGTTGAGCTTCTGTGAAGGCATTGTATTATAACGCCTGTTTTCTTTTGTTTTCGGTGGTGTTTTTTTTTTTCTTTTCTTTTTTTTTTTGTTTTTTTCTTTTTTAAAACCCCTAGGTGACTTAGGCCTGCAAAAGGTTTCTGACACTCTTCTGGAACTCAACACTACACGTAACTGCTTGCAGCGAGGCAGTCAGCACAAAATTCAAAGCAACATTAACTTCCTGTGTGGGAAAACACTGGTAAGTCTAAGTCACATGTTCTTATCTTCAATGGAAATGGCAAGTACTTCTAACTTGCTTTTTAAGGAGACTTGCTGTGCTTGTGGATGTACTAGTTACTGAGCTTCATGGCTTAAGGAACAGCCAGTTATGTTTTAGTACCAAATTAAGGTCATTATCTACTGTGGCTTTCAAAATTCAGTCCAGTAGAAAATAATTGCAGATCTGAGCTTAGCTCTGATCACGGGCACTTCTGGGTCTTTAATGTTTTTACAGGGATTGCACTGTAGTATTTTAATAGCATAATATGGAGAAATGAGTCAACAGCATACAGGGTGCTGTAACAATGAGAGCTATTGTTTAAATGCTAGCTGTGCCCAAGCTGTCAACCTAGCATGGCTGTTTAATAGAACAGCATCGAAGAAAGCGACTGGCCTCAGTTATGAGTCAGCATAGCTGACAACAGTAAGTGTTAGGTTTTGTATGCACATAGTTGAACTAATAGTGCTTACATGTCCAGCTGGGCTTCTGGGGGAGTAGTTGTTTGTGAGGATCTGCTTAAACTGTGAATGGAGATCCCAGAAAAGATCCTAGGGGTGTGCGTGTATGCAGTTCACCTCCATGTGCTTTTGGAGTTACACGTTCCACACACTTAACTGATACCACAGCTCCGTATTCTGTACAGGCTGTGATCAGTTTATACATTTGTGTATCAGAGGTAAGTACTTATTAGTGCCACAGTTGTCGCTGATGATGCTGTTGCACACCCCCTCTTGGAAATCTAGCCAATTCAAAGTGCCAGTGCAGCAGAGATTTACATGCTTCCTGTTCTGTTTCAGCAGATGACTCTAATTTAAAGTAAGTTAAAAATTATCGCTCAACTCCAGCTGTAACACCAGATCATAATAATCTTCAAACTTCTTCTAATTAGCATAGTTATAACACCTGTTCTTCATGTGACCTAGTAAAAGGATTTTGTAATAGTGTCTGGAACAACTTGTTTCCAACACTTTTATAGCAGGGTTAAACAGGGAGGAAATCAGTTTAAATATGCTAAAGTGCTTCTAGCTGAGGTAATGGAGGGAGAATGGAAAAATCTGATTGTTGTCCTTGTCAAAGTAGAGACGTTCAGTTGACCATCCAGCCCTGAACTGTGGTACAACCCCCATCTTGAAATAGATACAAATGTGTATAACATGAGCCTGTAAAAATCAGTAGCTGAGATCAGAGAGGTTCTTTCTGTGTAGCAGAAGAGATCGCTAATTAGTTGTCTTTGTAGGATAAAAGACAGGGAACTGGTAAACCATGCATTGCCTTGCTGTTCATCTATTTATACACATTTGTATTGGTGTTTTCCTTTCTAGTAACTAGATGTGAGTGCTGCTTCTGCCACTATCAATTGGTGTAGTGAGCGCTTCTAAAAGATGTAGTACAATTACTGCATATTAGGACTGGCACATGTTAATTTGAGAATTGGTGTATATGCAGACCGAGAAGGATTTGACACCCTGAATCTTACCGAGTTTGCCAACAAAGCTGTTAAATAACAAACTTGCTGTTAACAAGTGCTGTTAAGAAACTGATGCCCTTGCTCTGTGACATGCTGTATTCTGTTTTTCTTAAGCTTGTGAATGAACTTCTTGCTGTCTACAGATATAAAATAAAATTGAAGTCTCTTTTTCAAAGAATTATGTTTTTCCCCTTTAAATAGGGTACCCCTGAATTTGTAACAGCAGCAGAGTGTGTGCACTATTTTGAATGGAGGACCTTTGTGGCTTGCAAGAAAGACTTGTTTAAACCCGTGAAAGAGGTAATCTATGTACTATCCATGCAGAAGTTACTCTTCACACATCTGGAAATTTTACTCTAACTACCTGCCCACACCCTAAACAAATCCCAGCAACCTCCATAGACCTAACTTTTTCATAGGCATGTAAAGTATCTGTTGGAAGTGGGTGGAGCTGAGAATTTTAAATAACTTTTCAACCTTTTTTGTCATCTGGATTGTTGTTTATAGTAGAACTCTTCTAAAAGCTAGAGCAGAACTGTAACTTTGGATGCCTCATTTTAGTCAGCATATCTAACTTTAAGTTTAGCTTTTGAGCTTCCAGAAGTAAAAACCTTTTGCACGTATTAACTTGGCTTTATATATGCCTGTTCATTACTTCTCCCTACTTGTGTAGCATGGATTGCATGTAATTTTTTGTTGTTCTAGGTCCCTTGCTATGTGTTTGATGAAGATTTGAAGAAACATGACTTGAATCCTCTCATCCAAGTTTCAGGACACTACTTGGTGGATGATTCTGATGATGATTCCTTGTTCATAAACATCTGCAGGGACTTAGGTGTGAACACTTGCTTGTGTCACCTGTTGGTGTATAAGTTTCTAGTAGTATGGTTCTTTTCCAGTGCCTCAGTTGACGTTGTCCTATGACCAAAGATCAGTATTTTAGGACTTGCACTATTGTTTCAAGATGCTTTTGATGATTTGAAGGCTGCTTTCTGTGAGGAGGGGTTACCCATTATTTGGTATCATTCTGGTGTTGTGGAGAAAAAAAAAATACTTGGCACGCTTGTAGAAGTTCTCAAAGCCCTACCCACCCAGCAGCTGTACCAGCAACTGGAAACTAGCTGCAGCTATTTCAGCAGAAAGGATGAATTGGCTGTCCAAAAGCAGGGCAGCATGAACTTCCCCCTGTATATCACAAGCACTTCAGGTTTTGTCTTGCCAGTTTCATGTTTATGTAACCCATTTTAAAGGTATTTTCAGAAAAGGGTGAAGCAATGAATGGTAAGTGAGCCCACAAATAAAATTACAAGATACTTCAGGTAGAGCTGGGCTTAGAAACTGAGTCCTGTATTCTATTTTCTATATTCTATAACAGGAAGTTCAAGTGGAGAGACCAGAAACTGCCCTGCTGGCAGTGCTGCTTGCTTGTTACACGAAGGTCAGGTGTATGATGTTGGCCATCCACGGGAACAGCTGAAACTTCGTGACAAAGACAGGTATGTAATTTTTGTGGTGATACTTCTGTGAACACTTCTCAGTCATCTGGGCTGGAAAAAAGTCTTGGTAACAGATGAGTCTTCTAAAACTTAACGTCAATACCACTTCAGTTTTGAAGCACTGGCAGAAAAAAATTTCTTCAAATACTAGCAGGGCAGAGTCTTTTTCAGGCATCCTGTTGTACTGGCATAACAGATCAAATTTTCTTCTTCATTGTGAGAGAGTCCTTCTTACAGAATTGCAAAACTCTCAGAAGTGAGATGCTTTCTGCCTGCAAGCAGAAGACTGAGATTTGACCCCATCTGCCTGCTGTCTGAGGGCCCACAGGGTAAATGCACTCCACCTCTGGGTTTACGCACTGTATTTGGCTCACTCTACTGCCCAGGAGTACTTTAAAAGTTGGTGGATGTTGCCCTTCTGTATTTTTGCATTAAGAAGTTCTTAATAGAAGAAATAGATAAGCAATGCAAGGCTTATTGTTCCTGGTGGTGGCAGAGCTGGGACTAGGAGAAACTGTTTCCTTGATGCTGCCTCTGTTTGCTGCCCTTTGTGCTGGAAGTGTACCTTGAAAGGAAGAAAACCCAACCCCCCACCCCAACAACACAAAACCAACTAAACAAACAACAAAAAAACCCCACTCCAAAAACAACAACAAACAAACCCACACCAAAAAACCACCCAAACCACCCCATGTGGCTCAGGGGACTTACTTAACATGCTGATCTTTCTGAGCTTCAGGTCATCTGAGCCTGCTTACCTTGTCTGTAGGGTTAATAGTACCCTGTTGACTTCTGCAGTACTCTTTATCTCAGATGCAAGCTGAAGAAAACAAGCGGAATAAACCAGGTTAATAACAGGGTTGTTTCAGTGACAGGGTTGTGGTTTTTCTTTTGGTTTACAAACCAAGTTATTAGTCCTTCGTTGCAGGGCTTTTCCCTCTAGCATGAAACAAGTGGCTGAGGTACCAAGCTTCTGTACCAAGGCAGAAGCTTACATCTGAGGAAGCACAAGCTTGTTCTCATATTAAAGTGCAACTAAGTACTCTATAAAAGTGCTCTGTGAGAAAGCTTTATCTTATCCCTGCTAGGATTCAAGAGCTCTTCATTGCTTGAGGAAAATTCATTGTTTGTGCTCAGTCAGACTAGGGTGGCCTGGGAAGAGTAAGATGATTGTATATCTGTGTCCTAAGGTATAGAGAGGCCAGTTGGAGGTGTGGCTAACCTGAAGCCAGGCTGTCATGCCTCCATGAGCTGTTGTCTTCGGCCTGTTAGATTGTATAGAACAGTAATGCTTAGTTGGGAAGTTGTGTTGGTCTCCTTGTTTTCTCATCCAAGTCATCTTGCCGTTTGTCTCTCCCTGTCATATAGTTATCATGTTTCATTCTTCTACTCCTGCCTTGTATGATCTGTCCCAGTGGCCTTGCTCCTGCCAATTTGCTAATGAGTTCATCTCGCTTTTAATTCTGGGGGCAGAATGGAAAGAGATTGTACATATGGAGGAGATAAAGTATAGGAATGTGGTAAAACATGAGTGGTTATTACTTCCAAAAGTTGCAAGAGTGTTTATCACATCTGCTCTCCAGCAGTTTGAGAGCAAACCTAGAGTGTTCTTGTGACTATCAGCCAAGTTCCTGCTATAACATGGGTTACAAGGCATTGAGCATAGTCTTTAACTGGGGTGTAAGAGGATGCTGTATTAAGTAATTTTTCTGGGAGTGTCTTAATCTTTATTTTGGTTAACTAAGATTAAAGGAATAAAGACCTCCATAAAAGTATCTTTCAGGAATAGGGCTACTTTGGTATATCCTGCCTGGGTATCTAGCAAGGGGCAGATGTTCTTTCAAAAATACCCTTCTTCTGTACAGTGCATAGTGTCTTAATTGTATTTTTGTTTTGCCATTTTCTGTTTCTAGGCTGGTATTGAGTTATGAGAGAATATACAGTGATAAAGAAAAGCCAGACTTCTGCCTAGGCCATAACCCAGCAGTGACAATCACTTTTGTGTGCCCATCAAAGAGGGGAGAAGAGGTAACTTTGCTGTTTTAGTTTGTGTTAAATGGCTAGTCTTTAACTTCTGTGTGTGTTATCTTTCATTTTTTTTTGAAGGCTGAAGGGAACAGAAATCCTCCTAGTTTGGAGCTCATGAAGAGTGTAGGAATCTAAATAAATTCTAGAAGACTTTCTGAAGAGATAAACAACAACTTGAATAAAATTTTCCCAGGGGTGTGTTCTTTCTTGTTTTGGTGAATTTGGTTGTCCTTTTCTGGGTTCAAAGCTTTCCTCTGAGAATAGGACAGAGTTAGTACAGTGTTAATTCTTGGCCCGGAGCTCTGCTTGCTCATGAGCACTCTTCCATCATCAGTCAGGCCGGGCATGCCTACAACTGTTGCCTGTAACTCGTTTCTTTATTAATCTGTCCTTTCTCAGGTGAAAAAAATAGCTAGCAAGTCTCATTGCATGGTAAAAGTCTGTCACTCTACTAAGCAGGCTCATGAACTCCTATTACCTTAAAGTAAAATCTGTAGTGTTAAGCAGCAACTTATTTTTTGCAGGACACAGTTTCAGCCTAGTGTCAATGCAGTATGATGATCACTTTGATGTGATGTCAGGTAATCTCAGCCACTCATATTCCTTAAATTGGGCCAGAGTGGCTATTGCTAATGCTCTGCCATTTCATATTGTGATGCTTTTGGTTGGAGGTTAGTGAAGGAGGAACTCTTATCTGGCTAACTTCTGGTTTAATGTTTTGTCTCTCATCTGATCTAGATAGGTACCATACTTCATCCTCATCACTGCAGAAACAAACTATAGGCCTTTCTCTACTGTCACTTTGTAATACCGCACTACAGCTATGCACATATGTAGTATGAATAGTATTGCTGATGTTACTTGTACCTGTAACTTATCTGATACTTTACCTGTGCCTGTTGTTTTAGTGGGTGGTAAAAATACAGATTTGTGAAATGAGGCAAGCTTCTAAATGTTTCACTTTAAAGTGAGGAAAAACAAGACTACCCCTTCTCCCAGAGGTGCAAAAAGATTTCACTACAGAAAATGCATCTGACAGAAGTGTTGGCTAAAGAATTCTCAGACTTCTTTCAGTCTTGATTTGGACTGAAGGAATCAAAGTTGCTAAACCACCCGTGTCTAAGAGGCTGTTTTGCCTTCCAAGAACTCTTGATCGCTGCTGCCTTCTTTGAGGACTCCTCAGAGGCAAACACAATCCAAGTTATGCTTAGCAATTTGGGCTCACATATCTCTGCTTTTGCCAACACGTTAAGGAAAAGTGCTTTTTAATGTACTGTTATGGTTGCTGACCTTCTGCTAATGCCTGATACTTTACCTCTGTTTAGACTTCTAGTTTGCCACATCATTAATAAGAGCTGTTTTACTAAGAGCTGTTTTACTTTCTTCTCAACACCTATTTCTGAGAGGCCAGAGACAATGTTAGCAGCTGTTAAGCAATTTACAGGTGAAGTTAGTCATTACTGACCCTAAAGGAATGGGATACTGTTGCTTTAAAGATTGTATTTCAAATAAGTCTCTGTACTTTTAATTTAAATTCTGTTCATTTCTGTATCAGAGTGCAGGTCCCAAACTCACAGCAAAAACAAATTGCCGGTATGAAATAGAGTGGGTTACTGAGTATGCCTGTCACAGGGATTACCTGGAGAGTAAGAGCTGTCTTCTGACTGATGAGCAACATGATATCTCCATTGATTTAAGACCACTTATTCAATTTCCAGGTAAGCTCACTATTTTTCTTTTGTGGTGTGACTAGCCAGTTTTCCAGTGTCATGTTTGGAGACAGGAAAAATGTCCTCTATAGATATTTGGTGTTTTACATCTGTTCTGCTGGGTTTTAGAACACTTTTCTTTTTCTTATTCATTCAGATTTTGTCACACCATATTTAGCCAAAGATGACAAAAAGGAGTATTACTATTACTTGAATATATGCGGGGAAACTAGGGCGGGTAACTGCAAGGACAGCACAGGATACGTTTCATCTTGCCAAGTAAAATCTTCAAATAACCAGCAAAAAGTGGCAGGAAGATTCCAGAACCAAACCTTAAGGTGTGTAAAGGCTCTCTAGCCCTGTTAACTTCTCTGAATGACTGATCTTTGTTTCCTAATTTGATGACCTTATTTGTCACGTAAGCAATATTTCATTAAAAAATGAAAGTATTTTTGCTCAGTTTTATATAGAAAAACATTAACAGTATGCCAGGATATCATTAGCAAATGACGGAGTGGATGGGGTTGGTAGAGGCCACTGCCTAGACAGGGAAGAAACTTTTATCAGCTTTGTCAGAATTGCAGATTGTGCCATGTCGCCTCTTGCCCTCCTTGAGTTTTGCATGTAAAGTGGCATAAGGATTGGATGTTTTAAAACCTGTCCTCAATAAGAGGGCATCTCTGCTTCCTTTGCAAGAGAATGCATTAATCATATCCAAGAGTACTGAAGTCCAGGATTTTGTGACTGTGGGGTTTTTTTTGTTTGGTTTTGTGGGGGGTTTTTTGGTGGTTTGTTGTTTTTTTGTTGGTGGTTTTTTTTTTTTTTTTAGAACGTCAGGATTCCGAAGTGGCATACTGGGACAATAGTTTGCATGAGATTGCAAAGCAGAGCTTATTCACCTAGATATGGTTTTCTATTCTGTCAGCATGTGACAGACTTGTTGGAGTGATCTTCCAGGACGTATGACTTCTTCCACCTGCAAAAATAGCCATGCAATAAACTAATAGGAACAGATTTTCCACCTTTGGAGAAAAGGAGGCTGAGGGGTGACCTCATTGCTCTCTACAGCTTCCTGAGGAGGGGAAATGGAGAGGGGAGGCACTGATCTCTTCTCCCTGGTATCCAGTGATAGGACACATGGGAATGGTTCAAAGCTGCACCAGGGGAGGTTTAGACTGGACATTAGGAAGCATTTCTTTACCAAGAGCGTGGTCAAACACTGGAACAGCCTTCCTGGAGAGGTGGTCCATGCCCCAAGCCTGTCAGGATTTGAGGCATTTGGACAATGCCCTTAACAACATGCTTTAACTTTTGGTCATCCCCGAATTGGTCAGGCAGTTGGACTAGATGATTGTTGGAAGTCCCTTCCAACTGAAATAGTCTATAGTGCACAAATATTCTATTCTATTCAAAGCAGGAACAGCTTTAGAGCATTCTTTAAACTTTATACAAATTCATGAAAAGTAACTAGAAAAAGCAGTGGATACAAACCTTTGTTGCAGTAGAAATACCACTATTAATGTTGAACAAGCATTTGTTTTCCCTTCGAGTGAGACAATTATTAAATAAACAAGAGTGTGGCTTCTGTTATGTGAAGAACACTGCGTGATTGTGTCTGATCCCATGTTTCTATCTAACACTGACTTTTTACTCAGATATTCTGATGGGGATCTCACTTTAATTTATCCGAATGGGGATGCATGTAGTTCCGGCTTTCAGAGAATGACTGTCATAAACTTTGAGTGCAATGAAACAGCAGGTGAGTTTAACAAGCTGTGATGACTCTGCTCAGGGTTTGACTTCTGTGCTTGCTAGTAGACCTTATGTTCAAAGGAATGCATGCTTTGAGCCACAGCTAACACAAGGAACAAATATTGTTAGAGTAAGCACTAATTTCTATGGCCGGCAGTTTTGTTTTGTGCTGTGTAGTAGCATTGCTATTCTGAATTTACACTGATGATCAAGAATATTGAGGTGTAAAAGAGCCTTGTTTCTTAGCCAACAGTAAAAAAGAAACAAACAACCCCCAACCCTCCCCACCACAAAAAAACCCACCTGCAACCACAAATGCAAGTCCTGTGCAGCAAAAGGATTTCTGTCATCTTTGCTCATTGCTAGTCCTCAAGTCTCCTTGCTTTTCTCCCCTTCCCCCACTGGAAAGCTAACATCTGCTTATCCATCTTCAATGTTAAGGTAATGATGGTAGAGGAACTCCAGTGTTTACTGGTGAAGTGGACTGCACATATTTTTTCACTTGGGATACAAAATATGCATGTGTTAAAGAGAAAGAAGATCTCCTTTGCAGAGTTGCTGATAAGAGAAAACACTATGACTTGTCACCTCTGATCCGCAGTTCAGGTATGCCAGTGGAAACTAGCTTTCAGTTACTTTTGTCTTGAGTTTACATGCCATCTCTAGTGCAATTCTTTAGCTGAACATTTATCAGCTTTTGCTTTTCTTAGTTAATTTCTGGTACTGGTGTTCACTTCCCTCATCCAAAAAAGAGTGAGTGCCTTATGAAAGTAGCCATATCCATGACTGCCTTAGTTGCTGACATCTTAAGTGGTTTTAAATGTGTGTCTTTTTTTGTGATAAAAGGCATTTTGGCATGGAGAGGCTAGAAGAATTAAGTCAGATAACTTGTTCTTAATGACGCCCTGTATTTCAGAGTTAGCCCAGAACTGGGAAGCTGTGGACAGTAGCTTTTCGGAGGTAGGGAGGAAACATTATTACATCAATGTCTGCCGTAAAGTGCTGAAGAGAGGAGGAGCTTCCAGCTGTTCAGATGATGCTGCTATTTGTTCTGTAGGTGAGTCTTTTGGTTTGTTTTTTTTTTGTTCTGTTTTGGGTGTGGTGGTTTTTTTTTTGAAGGCTCTGAAGGTTTGGCATTTCCTCTGCAAATAGAGTTGGCTGCCCTGAGTGCCTTCAGTTATTTGGGGAAACAGAAGTTAGGAGCACATTTTGCTTGTGCTCCCAAAGACCACAGAAGAAATGATGCAAGTAGCCTTTTCTAACTAAAGAATGGTATTATGCTCTCCTCCAGGCTTTGTAGCATGGTTTTGGCAAGGTTAAAAACAAACTCCTGATCATATGCTTTCTTAAGACTTCCCATTTGGCTAGTTAATATTCTCTTAATAGCGTAAACATCACTGTCTTTCCAGGGAAACAAATTTATTTTTTGTTTTTGTATTTGTATTTTTGTATTTATTATCTTTACAGATAAACAAAACAAGAGTAAGAATCTTGGAACATTTGTATCTTCTCCTAAAAAGGTTGGAGAAAATATTCAGCTTACCTATTCAAATGGAGACAGCTGTGGTATTAACAAGAAAATCAAAACTGTCATCACTTTAGTGTGCAGACCAGGTGAGAATATCCACACCCTGTTCTCTGATCCAGTTAAAAACTGGAGATCATTTAATATGCCCAGGCACGAGTGCTAAATATTAGCATGTGCCTTTGTCTTTTATTTCTTTCTACGCAAAAGCTGAAGCATTGTGGTTTGTTTACTAGGATGATAGCAGTGTAACTGCAGGTATTTAGCTCTGTTCACCTTTTATACAAGTATTCTTTAAAGACCCTTGATTAAGTCTCTTGAACTAAGATTCTCCCAAAGCACAATGAAAGTATGTTTTAAGTGTTTAAAGCTCCACAAATACCTGGAAGCTATACAAAGCACTTTCTATCCCTAGGTTGTCTTGATGGGGAAGACAGGTTCTGAACTGAGATTAAATACTTTAACCTTCTTTTCCAATAAGTGTGTTTTGTGTCTAAACTGCTTGCAGTTTATGAGAAGCAGAAACATTTGCATAAGTTGTTAATGTTGTTCATCTCCATATAATAGCCCACTAGCTTAACCATCTTCCAGGGAAATAGGAAACCTGTATTCCTTTACTTCAGTCTGAGGAAGCTGAATCCTCCAAGTGTGCTAGCTGTTAGTATCAGATTATGCACTACTTCCTAATAAAGCTGTTGCTTTGTAGCAAAACACGAGGTTTGTGTATCAAAGCAAACATTTTTTTCTAAGAGTGTGATAGTACTCAGGAACAGACTGAGCAGTGCATCTTCATCTCTGGGCTAAACTTTTATTCTGTGGAGGAGGATGCAAAGAATTTGTGCAAGGAATTTTTGGTTCTATTTAGTCCTCATTTTCAGAGGAGAGGTACTTTAACAGTTAGTCTTGGTCTGCGTTGGGGAGGAGTTAGTGTTCCTAGGCTTAAATTGATAGTTTGTTTTGGCAGCCTGACTGTCTGTATATGTAACACATTGCTTTTGTGATACCAGGTGATCTAGAAAGTGCTCCAATCTTGATGTCTGAGGGTGTATGTTCATACGCATTTGATTGGTATACTGCTGCTGCATGTGTCCTGTCTAAAACTGAAGGAGACAACTGTCAAGTCTCTGATCCTCAGGCAGGTATGTATTTATGTGCAGCAAATTGAAAGGTCGTGAGGGATAGAACTTGTGTCACAACACTGGGTCCTTTTGATGTGCAAAACCAAAGCAAGTTCAGCCTAAGTCTAAGCCTAAGCACGCACAACATTTGAGCGCAGCAGTTTTAAGCACATGTGTATGGAAGATCAGAACAGCACGAGCTTAATATTCCCCATAGTGTGTGTGGAGGAAAATAGGTGAATGTGTGTTTTACTGTAGTATCTCTGTATAAGAAAACAGGCTTTTAGTATGTCCAGATTGTTTCTGGAATGATAATGACATGGAAGAAGAGTTATTTGGGGGGAAGTGAACTAACTGTGTGACTGGTAGAATCAAAACCTGTGAGAGATGGCAGGAAAAAATTAAACTGATACAGTTTATTTCTACCCAATTAGGCTTCTCTTTTGATTTATCACCTCTGGCCAAGAAAAATGGGCACTATATAGTTAATACTACTGAATACTTGTTTTACATAAACATCTGTGGCAGTGTGCAGGATGAGTTGTGTCACACAAAATCAGCAGCATGCCAAGTAACACAAAGGTGAGTAACTAGTTCTGTTGTCTGTAATAGAAGATCTCTTGTTGCATGATGTGTTGTTTGTGTGTAACAGTGAAATTGCATCTAAAATAATTACTGTGCTGCCTGTGATAGATTCAGGTAATCTGCATGTAAAATATTGGTAGAGCAGTAATTATGCTGCCAGCTGTTTCAAGCAAAGTGCACATACATGTAATCTTGCTTAAGCTAGCTTTTGAGATTGAATGAGTGTGTCCGTTGCTCCCCCTTATGTTTCCCAAGGGGATTGTAAGCTGTAGATGAACTGCTGCAGCTGTATTAAGCCAACCCACAATTTGGATTCAGGGTCAGCTGGATTCCAAGAGCTGGCCTAAAGAAGCACTGCTGCACTCAGGGTGAGTGGTGGCTGCCTTATGCAGAGGGTGGAGCCCGGAGCTTGAGTGTTGCATTGTACTTCCATTACTAAAAGTGCTGTGCAGGCACAGTCCCAGTGTGTACTGCTACTCTAACAGCATCATTGCTGTTATCTTCTACAGGGTGTGTCTGAGATGGTACCTGTGCACTTCAGGTTCCAGGTCAGCCTGTTGCCAGAGAGGTGGTACAGTGCAAACACATGCAGCTGTATTTGAGTTGGCTTTGTCTGAGTTACTCTCCAGCCAAAGAGAGTTCACTGCAGACACTGAAAACCTTCTTCAGGGGAAGGTGGTCAGGCTAGGTCTGATACAGCCTTAAGTCAGAGTAAAGAAACTCCCCTGAACCAAAGCTGGTTCTGAGCATGTGAAGGCAGTTTTCTTCACTGAGTGAGAAGACTTCTTGTTGTGCAGTCCTTAGGTCTTCACTGTCCACAGGTATTTGCATGGAACCAGTTTGAGCCCGGCATTAGGGTGTCTGCAGTTTGAATTCTACTCTGGAGAATGGGAACTTGATATTTCTGTCACTCCTCTAGAGAAGGGCGTGTTAAAGTTTTCTAGATATCTAGGCAAGGTACAGCTTCCTTTCCTTTCCAAAGAAGGACACCTGTTCATATTTTAAGTTTCCTTTTAGCAGCATTCTATTCATCCTAGCTCACTTATATCTAGTCAACTTTATTTAATTCTTTTGTCGTCTTATGGTGTCTTCTATAAACTTATCTGTGTGCTTATTACTTGTAAGACTTCTGTTAAATAGAGAATTGATTTTGCATTCTGTTCAGTCTCAAAGCCCACTTTTTCTTCTCTAGTAAGGATCAGTTTTGGAGTCTTGGACTGCCCAGTTCCAAACTTTCATATTATGATGGTCTGATTCAGTTGACCTACAAAAATGGTACAGCATACAACGATGAGAAGAAAACACAGCGATCTACCCTTATAACTTTCCTGTGTGACCGTCAGGCTGGAATAGGTCAGCCTGAATATCAGGTAAGAAGTTCTATATGAAGAAGGGAAGGATCTCCATCCCCAGATCCTGACAATAATTGCTGCTAGGCCAGTGTAAGCAGAGATTCATGGATGGAAATATCCAGTATCTATAAAGCAGTCTAAGAGAAATAGTTATTTCTCTTGGTATATCTGCCTCTTGTTACAGCCATAAAGCTTGGCTTGACCACTGAACAGTAAGCTGTTCACCTGGATCCAGGTTCTTACTTCACTCTTTTCTAGTCTCTGGGCTATGTAACTACTAGTGCTTTTGATCACCTTGTATTTCTAGCTGAAAAAACCCAAACTGGCTGAGAAGTGAGAAGTGGTAGGACTCTTGTGTCCTGTAACACAGCAGACAGCAGTTACATTGCTCTGATTGCTCTGATTCTATTATTTTTGGAAAGAGTATTTCTGGTGACACGGCAAATGACAAGATCTACAACAAAACAGACCTACACAAATCAGTCTGAGAAGGTATATCCCAAAACCAAGGGGAAATAACAAGCTTAAGATATAAAGGAGTAGCTGTGAGTCACAAAGTATTCTGTGTGGAAACCCTCACTGACCTGTTCTGCTGGTTTTTAGATAGAAGATAACTATACATACAACTTCAGGTGGTACACTGAATATGCTTGTCCTGAAGTGCCATTGGAATGTGTTGTGACTGATCCTAACACCATGGACCAGTATGACTTGTCAAGGTAGGATAGTAACATATACAACGTAACTTGGCTATTCTAGTTAGTGGCTGATAGCTTAGCGCTGGATGAAGTTGGTGTCCTGTGTAGACAGCACTAGGAACTTAGTCTGTTGTGACAATCTTAATTGCAAGTATCTTGAAATGAAGACAGTATTTCCCTCTAGTATATTGACTTGCCTCCTAAGAAGCAAGTTGACCTTTTTGGGATGGTTTTGCTTAATAAAAACTTACTAATTTGTCAACTGTGCTCTGCTTTCTAGGAGTATTCTTTTTAACTGTATTAAAAGTTATTTTGAAATGCCTTACAGTTGCTCTATTTCTTGAGACTGACAGAGAAAGCTAGACAGAATCTATGAAGAATGTGTGTTCTTAACGTAGAACTTTCTCATCCTGCTCAGCTTAGCAAAATCTGAGAAGAGAGGAGAAAACTGGTATGCCGTGGATAATTCAAGACCAAGTGAGCGCAAGAAGTACTACATAAATGTCTGTCGACCGCTGGTTGCTGTCCCAGGATGCGACCGTCGAGCATCTGTCTGTCAGATGGAATATCAGCATGATCATGTGAGTAGCCTTTCCATCCCAGCTCAGAGCTGGTTTGCCAAGTGAGTGAGATTAAGGGGTATGCAAGATAGGCACATGAATTCTGGCTTCTTAGTGCAAAATACAGTGGTATTCTGTGCATCCGTAATGTTGGCATAATCATTGCAGAATTCTATATTTCCCTGAAGTGTAACAATTTATTGTGGGACTGTTTGTGCTGACACTGGGTGGACACTTTGCCCAAGGCCTGGCTTCAGTGCTGCTCAAAGCTTTAGGGAAAGTTGAACTAGAGGCTTAGCAACCTGTCCTAATTCCTTCTGTAAAATGGAGAGAATACCTTCCCTCCATACTGTTGAAGAGGATGTCTGAGTGACTGAATCTGTACATCACCATCGTGGCACTTGAACTAAATATTACTAGTTCCATGTGCTGGCATTAGTCCTTGTTGTGTAAGGCTACCTACTTTGCATATGGAGACACGTTAGGGCTTCATTGCTGAAGACACTGGAGTAAAAAGTGAGCACATTAGGTCAACCTAAACACAGAGTAGTTTTTTAAAAAAAAAAAAAAGAAAAACGAAAAAGCAGAAGTCTTTGAGGGCAGAGCTGCTTTGGAGGTGTATTCTTCTGTTGGTTGCTGTCACTAACTTAAAATAGTTTCTCAAAAATAGGAAACACTAGTTGTCTTGCAGAAGATTAATTTGGATCTTGGTAGTAGCACCTATTGTTATTGTAATGTTCAGTTTCTGATAGCGCTTTTTAGGCTTTGCTAAGCATGGCAGATCTCTAAGGTCAATTCTAAGAATGCCTGGAGGCTTCCACATACTTTGTTTTAAGGAGCTGTACAAATTAAATCCTACTTAGTGTGCATGCGGTATAGGCCTTCCTAAATTCCTAAGCTGTGTAGCTGGTGAGATGAGGACAGCTGTTGTGAGGCACTACAGCACCCTATTGTACCAAAAATAGAAACGACAAAGAACTAAACCATGCCTGCTTCTGGAACTTGTCTGTTAAATATGTGAACCTTTAGTACAGAATGGGGGAGAAATGTCAGGGGATCTCTACATCTTTGTTATCCTCAAAACTCTCAAGATAACCTTCTGTATACAAGATTATTGTGACAGGTATTTTCTTCTTTTTGACTGTATCTATAACTCCTCACATGAGTTTAGACTTGCTGACATGCTTTTCTTTATTTCTAGGTTCCTTACTCTGAAGTCACCTCTATTAGTAATCTTGGTGTTGCCAGCAAAGAACTAGTAGTTGAAAGACCTGGACACATTTTTCTAACCTATGTAAACGGCTCTGTGTGCATTGATGCTGATGGAAAGAAAACTACTTATACCACCACCATCCACTTCATCTGTTCCAAGGGCACTCTTGTAAGGACAAATGATCTTTCAGTTGTTGCTTCATCATAGTAGGTTTTCCATCATATAATGTGAAGCTACACGAAGATATACAGCGTATAGCAGATTCATGACAAGGGAGACTTCTTGAGGACTTAAAATAGAGATGTAAAAACAAAGCTGACTTAGATGCTAGAGAAGCATGTGTCTTGGACTATTTTACTGTAAGCAAGAACTAGTTAAAAACTAACAGCCTCAGTGGACAGTGATATTTCAGACTAGTCTAATTAGCATGAAAAATACATGGGGAGTTAAGACTGAGGAGTTACACATGCAAACATTGCAGACCCTCTTAAGAATATTGTAAAATGTATCTTCAAGCTTAGGTTCTGCATCCTCTGTAGCTTGTTGATTGTAGACGAGTTCTTAAATCTATAAAGCTTTTGATGATACAACTCCACATACTGAAGTTTAGACTGAGGGGATCGTTAGACTGATGCTTGCCTAGACTTGTTCTTGCTGGTTTGTGAATCTGGAGGTTGTACTTCCCTTGCTCACATAACCTCCAGTCCAAGAGGTATGGTGAAAATCTGTGAGTTCAAGCAGTTATGAACTGCTTTGCTTTTGCCTGAAAACACTGACATGAATTGTGTATAATTAATACTCCTGTTATATTGTTGCCTCAGCCAACAGAGTTTTGTGTTGCTTGATTTTTACTTTCGTTTTTTAGCGTAGACTATGCATTTTACCCTAAAACTCTTCAAAGCTTAGACTGAGGCAGTGTCTGGTTATGCATGTCTAGATTCAGTACTGAATTTAATCTGAATATTTGGATGTCAGATTCAGTTCTTAGCATGTCATTAAGCTTTAGCAAAGTGTTTAGCAAAGTATTCAGCGGTGACCTTCAAAATAAATAGGGGATGGGGAAGCAGGGTGAGAGTTGTGTGCATTTGTAGTGAAGTCTTTTAGAAGAACCTGACAGTTTTTTATAAAGTGGAATCTCAAACATGAGAAGGTGTTGGCTGTTACACTTACTTATTCTGGTCTTCTGTCTGCAATCTGTTTTCAGAGTAGCAGCCCACGGTTTATAGCTATGATGGAATGTGTGGCCACGTTCTTATGGGAAACTGAGGCTGCTTGTCCAATCAAGGAAACAAAAGATGATTCTCAGGTGAGAAAGGGGGACATAATTGTATTCATAGTGTCAAAGTACTTTTTTTCTAGTGCTTCTGGTTGCTGTGTTTAAATGACTCTTGGTGAAAACTAACTACAGTGAAGCCTGAAGTTGATTGTGATGGAATCTTGTGGTATCTCATTGCTTTCTTCTGGAAGTGTTCCTGAAATGTGTAACTTCTGACCAAAGTATTCAAGTGCTTTCTCTTGAGATCAACTTACTTGCTGTGGCACTGAATATTTCATTCCCTTACAAGGTTGCTAGTAAAACTGAGTTTATATATAAGGATATTTATTGGCCTTTTTTGTGTACAGATCATCAAATGGGGCTTGCTTTAATACTGAGCTACTCAGTTGCTTCTACTTTACAGGTCTCAACATAAACTTGTTAGCGTGAAAACAACCTGCAGTTAAAGTTTCCTTGCTTTTAGCTAACCTGACAGATATCATCTATTAAATTGCACTTTGATATGTTGGTATGTGGCTGATGTCAATGACAACTGTGCAAAAGAATTGAATGGAGTGTTGCTACTGCCAGAGCTGTATTCTGGTTGTCCAAATTAAGTTGCTGATTGGTATGCAGGCTAGGAATGTGTGTAAATCACTATTTTGGCTCTTTAAACAAGTTAGAGGTAAAACTTAAACACAAGAAACGCAGAAGGAGAAAATAGTGCTGTCATAATTTTTTTCTTTTTTTTTTTTTTTCAGTCCTGCTCTGTGCGAGATCCAAACACTGGCTTTCTGTTCAATCTGCAGCCATTAGCTTCTGCAAAAGGCTACATGGCTACTGGCATTGGAAAGAAGTTCTTGGTAAGGATTCTGACTGTACAATCTGTTGCTTATGGATGCTGTTGTTGCATTTTTCCAGTCTTGCTTAGTGAGCAAGTGGAGCTTTGACTCAGTCCTTTTGTGAAATTTGAGTTGGTGGGAAAGTACTGTGCTTGAAGGGAGGAATGGAAGATAACTTGATGCATCTCAGATGGTCTTAAAAGCATCAAACTTCTGGTTCTTAGCAAACAACAAGGTAGCCACGCTTCCGAGGCTATGCATGGTTTTCCAGTTATGGACTCTGTTGCATCGTACCAGTTTATCTGCTGGTGCTGAAGAAATGGACAATGGAAGCCTAGAAAGAGATTTAATCTGTCCATATCAGTGTTCTTAATGTGATCTGCATGTATCAGTAATCCTAGGCTGTCCACAGATACTACCATAGTGTTTTTTAGTCTAAGAATAAACTTGCTAAACCACATCCTGTACTTCTAGTGGGGACAATTTGTGGACCCTGTAAGCTGAAGATTGAGGATATTGTTTCTGTATTATAGTTGGTTGTCTTGCAGTCTAGAGACGACAGACACTTCATGCTGTTTGAAATAGTTCTTGACAAGTGAGTTTTACTGCTGTAGAAATGGCTATGTGGACCTAATTCTTCTGATGCAGTTGATACTGTGTACATGCACATGTTTTCAAAACTTCTAGCTAAACATCTGTGGATCCATGCCAGATTGTGGTAAAATCAATGGCAAAACAGCTGCTGGATGTGAAGCAGAAAATCTGACATCGGTGAGGCTGGTGGAATTGGACAAAACCCTGTATCTGTCTGGTGAAGGGTTTCTAACTCTTACCTACAGAGGTCCTCTTCGTGTTCAATCAGGTGAGTTCAGGAAATACGCAGTGGAGATGGATGCTGATACTGTACAATTCTCTGTGAATGGTCTTCATTTCTTCTTTTGTACACATACTGAAACCTACTGGGCTTGGTGTTTGTCACTTAAACAAGCTAGTTCATATGAAAATTTTAGGAAGAGATCATATCATGCAGAATGTTAATGGCTCAGTTTTCAGTAATACATATGCATTTCAAAACTTCTGGAAAGAGACCAAATATAGTACAGGATTTTTTTTCTTTACTGAGTAGGTGAAAAATATCGCTCCTTGCATGGAGAAATGGATAGTCAAATTGGGAAAACAAGAAAAATGAACTCTGGCTCTTTTTCTAAATGAAGTCATTGCTTTAAGCTTCAGTTTCATGAGTAATGCTCTCTAAAGTTGTTTCATATCTGAAAGGCTTTTTTTCAGTAAGCTTATACTCTCTTACGTGGAATTTCTTGAATAAGTGCTCTAGTATTTCATGTACACCTACTTCATGAATTTAAGTCTGTTTTGCAGGTAAGACTGGTGAAAAAAATGTGCATCTAGCTTTTGGATTTTACATGCTCTCCAACTGTACTGAAACTCAGTTTTCATAGAAAGGCATATGACACGTTAACGAAAGGTTTTTAGAAAAACAGGACTTTGGATTCAGGAACCTCAGATGCTCCTGCATGTTCGTCCTCTGTACAGATTGCTATGGTGATATCTCTTATTTTTCCAGTTGTGATGTTTTCGTACCTAATATGCAACGGGAAACAAGTGATTGAGCTCTTGTGTATTTTGCTTTGAGAGCTTCTATCATTTTGATAACGCTAGGATACATTGATGACAGATGCTACTCCCGCCCATAATTCTACCATTTCTTGTGGGCTGTGGAAAGGAGGACTAAACAGAACTTAACATATGCTGCTTCAGTAGTATCAGTATTATTTTTCTGCAGTCATTACACTGAACTTCTTACAAACAGACAAAGAAAACCCCCAAACCAGAAACTTTGCTATGTGTGATGTAATTTAGAGGTTGCTGGTACAGCTGACTTGATGTTTTATAGGTTTTCTGTTTCTCCAAATATATCATGTCAATGACCTAGGAAGCACAGTTCAGTGAAGGTAATTATGCTCTTGAAATGTGTCAAGGCATTCTGGTCCCCCATTTGTAGACAATTGTGGCTGCTAGGCAATTTAGCACAGGTCTCTAAAGAAAGCCTGTGTATCTACAGTTAAAAACCCATAAAAAATAAGGTAGCTTTTTCCTTGAAGCAGTTAGTAATAAGATACTGTTAGAAAATTTTAAAGGCAAGTGTTAGTTTAAACTTAAATTCAAATATTCCCGAGTGAACCAGCAGCAGATAAGTGTTTGTTTTACAGGGTCATCAGACATGTTCACGGTGACTTTCATTTGTAATGATTCATATCCTGGAGAGCTTAAGTTTGTGCGTGAAGAGATAAACAGTGCGCTGAACATCCATGATACTTTTTTTGAGTTTCACACAGCTCTGGCCTGTGCTCCTGCTCCTGTAGACTGCCAGGTTACAGGTAAGTACCTGGAATTTGGGTGTGCTCTGTCCAACAAATGTTGGAAGGCTTAACTGAACAACAAACTTCTGTAGAGGAGGGCTTTAAGAATACCTGTTGTGAAGACATCTGTAAGACTTGCAGTCTTCATAGAAGTTGTAGAGAGGGAGAGGAGGTAAGTGGTTTGAAGCAGGCTTAACTTATAAAGATAGGCAAGAAGCTAATGTGGAACATAGTGGTATACACAAGAGAGCTAATAATTACTTTGAAAACCTTTAGTTCTTTTCATGACTGAGTGCTGCTTCAGCCCAACTCTGAAGAAAATGGATTAATTTAGTATTGGCCTCTGGAAAAGTACACCTGTGAATTGTGGAGTAGTTACTTGTGGGAAGTAACTGTCAAGGGAACTCTGTTCTACATTTGCTGTAGTGACATTTTGTATGGCAACAGTACCTTCTCTCCATGGATATCTAATGGGATTCTGAAAATTGCTTTGAATTATGTGTATTCATCAGTGAAACTTCTATCATTCCAAACCCAATACTGCTGCAAGTATCTAATAGGTTACTTATGCGTGTATGTTACTTACGTATGCTTACTGTATGTACCACATCTTTCAGATGCTGCTGGCAATGAGTATGACTTAAGTGACTTGAGCAAAGAGGGTGAACCATGGGTTGCTATAGACACTTCAAAGGAAGCAAAGAAGCAAACATTTTTCTTGAATGTCTGCAAGCCTTTACCCTATGTGCCTGGATGCCCTGGTAAGCCAAGCAGCAAGCATTTCTTAACTTGTGACTTCTGATGCAAGACCTTTAAATGCAGAATGACATCCCTTGGTATTTTAATAGGATTTCTTGAATCCTGCCCGTTCAATCACTGAACTTGCATAGACCTGGGTGAGGTACGTCAAGGGTATAATAAACAGATTTTCTCAAACTGAGAGTAGTCTTAATGCTCATCAGGACTCTTGCATTGAGATGTGTGGGAATGGATTTTGGGAAAAATGCATTGAGTTTAGTATTTGCCAGTATCCCTGATTTTATTTTATTTTTTTTTAAAGATGAAAGTTAAATGTTGTTGAAGCCTTGTAACTGAATGAGGCCAGAATGAGAAGCTTATGCCATATCTTATTGCACTTCTAACCAGTTTGATTTATTTAACCTGTTGCTGCAGTCTTCTGTCAGTCTGTGGGAGCAGATAAGTTAGTGCAGTTTTAAAAATTTCAATGAACGCAGAACAGTAACTTTTTCTATTCCTCAAAGGCTTTGGACACACAATGTCTCTAACTGTATTTATGAAAACACTTCTGTTGTGTTCTGCTTCAGGAGTTAGAGACAGTCTGCTTTAATGCTCAAAGCTTTCTAAAAGCTACTCCATTATGTTATTTTACAATAAAGTCAACTCTAGTTGTCAAAGCTTTTGACTAAAATACAGGCTGCTTCTTTTGCCTATAGGTGGTGCCATAGGATCTTGTGTGAAATATGGTGATAAAGGCAAGAACCTTGGAGTCATTCAGATAAACCCACAGGCTGCTACGGATGGGTCATTAAGCATTATCTACTTGAATGGTGACATATGCAAAGATAAGCAGCATTATTCTACACGTATAATCTTCCAGTGCGATCATACAATGGTAATTTTCTGTGTCAGTTGCTATTAATAAGGATTTTAGAGCTTGGACTTACTGTAACAAAATAGACAGTGTTTATTCCTCTTGGAATGGAGAGGCTGGTTCTAAAAAAGTAGTATCTTGTATTCAGGTTTTTTCCTTGTCTCTCCTTACAACTGCTTTCCTGAGCCTGTAGAACACAACAGTGAACTCTATTGTGGAGTCCTGTGAGCCACCAAAAGCAGCTCTTTGCTGAAAATGAGTACTGAAATTTGATAATAGAGATCTTGGACTGTGCAACTGTAATAAAAAAGGATTCTGCATGTATGTTTTGAGACTTGCAATGTAATTGTTAGTAAGCCTCCTTCATATGGCTCTTTTCTGTAGGGATCACCGGTGTTTGAGCAAGAGGATGACTGTGAGTTTGTATTTGTTTGGAGAACCTTGGCAGCGTGTCCTGTTCACAAAGCAGAAGGTAAGTGTAGTTATTTCAGCTTTAAAATATCAAACAAATCTGTACAAGTAAATACTTAGTGAAGCTATGTTTGTTTCTTGCCCTGTGAATCTTTCTGTAAAGGTGCTGGCTTGTGAAGGGATGTCTCTTCTGAGCTTTAAGCCAACTAACATGTAAGAGCAATGTTACTTTTTGCTCTAACATTAAAAGTACTATTTAGGATGACAGGCAAATACTAAAAGCAACTAACCTGTTTCCTGTCTAGGGAAATAAGATAAAATAATAATGCTGTCTCTGCCAGATCATAGTACTACCTTGTTAAATCACAGGCAGACTTACTAGTGTCTTGTAAATCTTAAAAAAAGCATCAGGTTTCATGAGAACGCAGTTGATCCTATGCCTGGCAAGTCATTCCCTGTCCCTCACTGAAGACTGGAAGCTATACTGTAAACTTGACCCATGTTAGACAATGGGGCGAGACCAGCAGGGAGAGTATTAGAGTTTACAGTTGACTACAGGACATGCAAGAAGGAATCGCAGGTTTTAGTTCTGGTACTCGGTTGGCTCTTAGATGGGAAGTTGAGTGTGCAGGTATCTTCTCTGCTCTTGCAGGCTTTGTTTGGCAACTTGTAGATAATGCCTTATAAAACATCCAGAGTTCCTGTAAAGGATCTGTTGCAACAGTCCTAGACTTTTTGAAACTGTCAGTGATCTTACGAAGCATAAGAGGAATGTTTACAAGCTACTGCTCTGTAGCACACAATTACTGTGCAGGACACTGGTGACAAGAGTTGTGGTTTTGAAGGGAGGGAAACTGATGTGATGTCTTTAACTTGTACCAACTTGTTGGAAGATTGAGGGGAACATAATAATCATGTGATACAATCTGATGTTTTTTTTAAAAGCTTCAGAATATTGAGCAAAGGGTCACTTTAAAACTGAGGACTTGATCAGCATCAAAGTTACTGATGCATATCAGCTGGTTAGACTCATGAAACTAGAATTTTCCCAAACCTTTTCTGTATGCATCTTGGTAGACCTGTAAGCTGTAGCTAACATCCTATTATCAATTATTTCCTAATTTGGCAAACTACATAGCTGTTAAAAGAAGATACAAGACTGACATCTAGGACAACTTTTGCTTTGGCCTTGTGACCTTGCTGTTCTTTCCAGATAATTAAGCAAGTGTTGGACTTAGTGTCTCTGGTTCTGTACTTAACCTTCAGCATGGCTAAAGGAAGAACATGTGAGGCCACTTTGAGGTAGTTTTTGAACTACAGTGTGACTTCTGCATCTTGCTTTAGTGGCAGTTAGAAAAGAAATGTTCCATTTGTAGCTTAGTCTTACAGTTCTGGATATTGGTGACTTCTTGAAACAAGCTGCTTTGCTGGACTAAAATGGTTCTTCAGTGTCACTGCCCTAAAGTGCTAGCTACTTGTTTTTGTGGCCTTATTTGTGCCAGTAAGCCTTAATTGTCCTAAATGTATTTGGCATGGCTCACGGATATTAAATTGTAGTTTAAATTCTTAACTTTTCTTTAAAGGAGAGGATTGCCAGGTGAAAGATCCAAGGTATGGTCATGTTTACAACCTGAAGCCACTTTCCAATAAAGACATAAAAGTGAGTACAGATGAGTATGACTACTACTTCAGAGTTTGTGGAGAAATAACAGAACCTTGCAAACCAGAGGCTCACACTGTGTCATCATGTCAAGTAAAGAAGATGGATAATACTTTCAGAAAAGTAGCAGGTACAGCACTTGATCGGAAGGAACTTAGAGAATGGGAAGATTAACCAGGGTGTAATTGAAGCTACTATGTGATGCAAGAGGGGTTCTTGCTAATCTTGTACATCTTATGAGATAAAACACCCTACCACTTTCGCTTCATGTGCAAATAAAATGTCATGTATATAGTTAGCTTGACACACAATTAGGAATGAGCTCAAACCTACTGTACTGGAGTAGTACTCATTCAATAACTAGGTCACAAGTTTTAGAGTACTTCATTGTGCATGTTATTGCTGTCTGTGTAACCCTGTTGCCAGAGGCATTACTGCAATCATGTATTTACTCGATTAGCTGTTTACTTTCTCAACTCTTTGCTTCTAGGCTTGCTTACAGAAAAACTGACTTTCAAAAATGGTTTAATAATGATTAATTACACCAGTGGAGAAAAATGTCATAAAATATACGAACGATCAACTGCTATATTATTCTATTGTGACAAGACTACATCTGAGGTTAGTTTCAAAACATCCTTCCTGTACGTACTGTCTTCCAGAGTTACCTTCTTGATGTGTGGAAAGGTAAGGTGAAGAACATGAACTAGCTTCCTTCAAGGACTTACCTGATCATCTACAGATTAGGCAGGAGATTGAAAGGTCCTGTGAGGTAATAAAAAAATGACGAATGTTTTGAATTTCCTATTTATGGAAGGTACCTTTGTTATGCCCTGGGAAAGTCAGGGCATGTTGTTCCTTTAAGGCATGCCTGCCATTAGCAAAGCTTTTGGAGATGTTGGGAAGGGACGTTCTCCCAGAAATAACAGCCGTTTCTTTGTAAGAAATAAAAGGTAGGAGGATGAATCTGCAGGAAAGCAGATGTTATATGGCCAGGCCAAAATAAGCTTGTTACTTGCTCTTAGTATCTCTCTCTGTACTTGTACTTTCCTTCCTGTTCTTAAACAATGGTGCCTAGAGTTACTTTTGCTCTTCCCATTACTTCATGGAAGAGGTAGAAGCTCCTAATGGCTGCCCTTTTATCAGAAGTGTGCATGTGGATAAACTTGGTTTTGGGAGAAACCATGCTTTCAGCTGGCCAGAGGCATAGTGTGGCTCTAAGATAATATGTAAATACAAGTTTCTGGATCTTGAAGCAAGACTGAGACATTTTGGTAGCTTCAGTGTATCTAAATGAGAAAGTAAATTCCTTTTGTATGTTGTTCTTTCAGCCTGTATTTTTGAAGGAAACACCAGATTGCACCTATATGTTTGAATGGCATACTCAGTATGCTTGCCCACCTGTTAAATCTACTGAGTGCTCCTACAAGTAAGTTGTTTCCACAAACTTAAAATGGAGCTGTATGATGACAGAAACAAATACAGCCTTATTGCAACTCCGCAATACTGCCACTTTAGCTATTGTATTTTGACTTGTCAGTAGCCAGCTAATGTGGCATTTAATGCCAACAATGTATTCTAAATAATTTTTGCGATTTGTACTTCCTAAAACTAATTTCACTGAAGAAAAATACTTTCTTTGAGCTTCTTCTGGGGAATAAGCTTAGTATCAAAGTGAACTGTTGGGTATGTGGTTATTGACGGTTGAACTCTGAATATGTTAGGTTGTTACAAGTGTCTAGTTATTATTTAACTATAGCTAATTTAAACAAGAATACAACTGCTGTCTGTTTGGAACTTCCACCAAATAAAGCTCCAGAAAAAATGTAATCTATTTCTGTCACAACCAAGTATTAGCTCATTAAGATTTGATAAGTGGGGTCAAATGTGGCTGCTAATTGGCACATGGTTTTAACATCTGGCATCATGATATGTTTCTACCCTAAGGTAAAACCACCCACTGTAACTGTGCTTTGCTTGCTATGCACTGAATGCCTGCATGCTTCAGTGAAACGTCAGAATTACTCTTGCATTGGATGAGGGCTGTGTACATGTGGACAGTTACTGTGGGGATGGCTGGTGCAGTGATATATATCTGTACCGAATTTGAGTTTTTTAGGGAGCAATGAGTCTGGTGCAGATTTCTTTTCCAGCATGATACTCTGCTTATAGAGTTATCACGTTAAAAGTTACTGTAGTAACTTCAGAATTGTAACTTACCATTACTTGATTTTTTTTTTAAAATGCCTATTAATTTGAATCCTTTGTCTTTTTTACAGGGATGATGAAGGAAACTTCTATGACTTTTCATCTCTGACACGGCATAGGGAGAATTGGGAGGCAATTGCTCTATCTGCTTCTGCACAGAAATACTATATTAATGTCTGCAAGCCCTTAGTACCATATGGTGCTGCACGTAAGAGCAAAATAAAAATATATTCTCACTGTAGCTGGGAGGCAAGTGGTAGGACAGTACTGCTGGTTGTTCAGAGTGAAAAAATCGCAAAGCACAGTATGTGGAGACAGTGGTATAATTTCAGCAATAGAGGGAAGGGTAGATTGTGGGCCTGACTTCCATCTGCTTGGCAGATGAGATTCACTAGCAACTCTTATCTTCTCTTGATAACTTCAGCACTCTAGCTCTTCCATCCTTACACAAAGTCTGCTATAGCTCTTAAAGATTAAAATAATCTTTTGGCACAAGATGTTAACTTCAGAATTTTCTCTATGGCATTTTCTGACTGACTCTACGTTTTGTGCAGTAGAAGACCAGGTAACAGACTCTAGCATTTCACTCTGTGTAGTAGTCTACTTCCCCAGTAGTAGCTGCCACTACTTTCTGCATGGCATTGAGTGAAGTCAGGCGGTTGCTGCTCCTTGTAATTTTGGGGAAAAAAACACCCCAGTGAGTATGGTTTGGACAGTGGCTTGGAGGTAGATTAGCCATGACATACCTGAAAGTAGAGTAGTGGAGTTTTATTCCAGGCAAGTAAGCCTTAATAACAGTTGGAGTAATAATGCAGTTTTTGTTCATCTGTATAGGTTCCTGTCCTTCTGATGCCGCTGCCTCCCTCATGGAGGGTGGAAAATGTACAAGTCTCGGGGAAGTGGCTGATGGTCCCCGGTGGGAAAACGGTATTTCTGTTCTGAAATATATTAATGGGGAGCAGTGTCCAGATAAAATTCGCAAGAAAACAACGATACTGCGCCTCAAGTGTGATGAAAGCAAAATTGTAAGTGGGCTCCTTCTGGTGGGGTTTTATGTTTTCATGAGTTGTTCGTACCAATGTATGTGTATGGAGAATGGTGGGCAGTTCTTATCTATTCCCTAATCATCTGTAGTTGGATGGGAGCCAGTCTTGTAAGCAGACCGGCTGGCTTGTAAGTACTTGAACGTTAGATGCTGAGCAGTTTGAGATCCTTTTTGTACAATCTGCTAGCACAGATTTTATCAATTGTAATAGCTTCAAATTGTCAGTTTGTGTCTTGAAGATGAATGTATTGCAGGTTTGGAAGTGTTTCAAGTAGTAAATAATGCTATTGGCTGTGTAGTTCTTAAGTCTTGCACATCTGTATGCCTTGCCATTAAGTACTCTTCTATTTGGTCAGATGTCTTACCCTCACCTTTTGGATTTTTCTATTGCCCAGCTAGGCTGCCGTTAGCTCTCCTCTCATCAATTTTATTGCTCCTGATAATGATTCTGTACTGTTGTGTTTTTGAAATAGTCACAGTTAAATACTCTGTCCTTGGGTTAATTCATTGGACCACGATGGTCTGTTGAGCCCTAGGACTGGAATTTGAACTGAGCTCAGATGTAGGCTTCAGGGATAACCCCATGGCCTGAAGTCATAATAGTATCGCCCTGGAGAGATGTCACTGTCTCTGCTGTTTCATGTTTAGGAATCGAAGCCAGAACTTATAACGGCCATTGAGGATTGTGAATATACCTTCTTATGGTTCACCGCTGCTGCGTGTCCTCTTAAAAGCAATGTGCAAAATGACTGCCGGGTAACCAATCCTGCAACAGGTAAGGAGGAGGCCTCAGGATTTTGTATGTGGAAGAGGCTGCTGGAAGCAGCACCACTGCATTTGTGTTCTTGAGGGCTTCGTTAGAAAAGCACAGTGTGATGCATCCTCTGGATAGTGACTAACAAGCTTATCAGTGGGTAGAAATATCTTGTGAGGTCATGCAATGTCCCTTGGAACATATATAGTCTATAGTTCTGGAACTAGTTTTACCTCTAATTACTAATATGAATTAGTAACTGTTTGCCTTTCTAAGCTAGCAGGCAAGTAGAAGCTGGTTGACCTTCCTACTAAATTAAGTTACTGAAAGCTTTTAATACAAAGAAATGTCCTTGATTTCGAATTGAAAAAAAAATTAAATTATTCCCTGATCTGCCTACAGGCCACCTCTTTGATCTGACATCGCTAAAGCGAGAGTCTGGCTATACCATCAGTGATTCGCACAACAGAAAAATTGAGTTGAACGTTTGCGCTGAAGCTAAAAGTTCATGTGCTAATGGAGCTGGTAAGCGTCTTATCCCCTCTGATACTGTAATCACTGACTATAGAGTACCCAAAGGAAATACTTATGCTGGAGTTTACAGTAAAATGCAAGGGGCAGGTTTTACTGCAGATGTGGAAGGAGTGAAGAGAACAGCTGTATGGCTGAATTGGCTAGGAAAAGATCCTAAAACTGTTTCAGGAAATGAAGTGATGTATTCCTATCAAACTCCACTCCTAAACTTGGAATGTAAACCTCTTACATGGGCTCACTTCCAGTCCAATCCCTTTAGGTCTGAATGGGTGGGTATTCTTTTGGACATGAGGGCAGGAGTGTAGACATTTCTACTGCGCCTCTTAGCTTCCAGCTAGAGTGAGCTGAGCACAAAAATGGCTCTATGGTGACGTATTGTTGTAATGCATCTGCACTGAGCCTTGTGTCCACACTTCAAACTCTTGCCAGTCCTCTTTCTAGCTTTCTGTTCTGTTTTGGATGCTTCTGAAACATCAGTAGAAGTTAACTTGTATTTTAAGCTGCTTACTAGCAGGTTGAATTGTTAGCTCTTTTGTCAAACTGAATATGAAGTAATATTTAGGCATCTTAAATGCTAAAATAGGAGTATCGTTTGTGAATTAAAAATTATTTTTGTGTAGTTGGAAGGAAATACTGGATTGATTTGGTTTTTGAGGCATCTTAATAAAATGATATATAATCTGGCTGACATTTTGTGTTAATCTCTTGGTTTTCAGAGAAGTGGTAACCAAACACTGCTTTGTGACTGCTTAAATGTGTATACGTGCAGTACGTTCTGCTGGTTTAACGAAGTATTAATTGGCAATATTTGGTCTTTGTTTCAGTGCAGTTCAGCTCAGTTTAATGGCAACTCTGGATGGTGTGAAAAAGCCTATATTTCATAAGAGAATTAAAGTGAGACTAAAATCCTAAGTTTCCTGCTGTTCATGTTGTAAGGTGCAGTTTTAAAGGGCAGTTATGTTAGACTTGATCTGTTTTGTTCATTCTTCTTTTTTACTTTAGCTGTCTGCATCACTGGTGGTCCAAAACCAATTAATGCTGGAAAACCAAGTAAAACTTTAACTTACGAAGATCAGGTGTTAAAGCTTGTCTATGAAGATGGAGATCCTTGCCCTGCAGAGGATCCAGACCCTGAATTGAAGCATAAAAGCTATTTTAGCTTTGTATGCAAGTCTGATGTTGGAGTTGACAGCGAGCCTGTTTTTCTGTCTTTTGATGAGCAGACATGCACTAGTTACTTCTCTTGGCATACTTCCTTGGCTTGTGAGGAAGAGGTAAGAATTACTTCTACAGAAAACACTTGTGGGACTAAATTTCGGGGGTGGGGGTGTGTGTGGGGGGGTGGTGTTAGGCATAATATCAGTGTATGCTTTAAATTCCTTGAGGGAAAGGTCTCTTCCTGTAGCACAGAACCCAAGTTCATATAGAAGTTCTCAAATACATTTCTTACTGACGTTTTCAGCTGGCATAAACAATACTTGGCAAACTTCTGGTCCACATGGTGAGCCAAGTTAAAAGTTTAACACTTCAGAATAACTCCTCTGTGGAACCTATTTAGCTGCTTTTCTGTACAGCTCAAATGGAAGCCATAGGGCATCTTCTTGGGAATTGATGGTTAAGATCCTCCAGTGCAACAGGCTAACAGAGCTTAGGTTGGGTTGAGGATGGACAGCATCTCTGTGCATGGGAATAGTCTTTGTTTCTAAGCAAGTGACTATAGAGGCCAGGCAAGTGTATGATCAGTTTGCTCAGTGCAAAAACTGATAAACATTGATAGCATGAATTTAGGATCTGCCTCTGCTGTATAACACATGCTGTAATAACATGATTTGGTCAACTCTAGATGAACTGGTGTTCCAGACAATACTTTGAGCTAGTCTTACTTTAGTTAATTTTAGCTAGTGAAATTGTTACCAGTAGTGGGTGCACAGGGTAAAAACCAGCAATAGGAATAGAAAGCTAAATGAGCTATAAGGTGAATTCAGACCTTTTCTTAATGCCTGAACATTACCTTTTGTGAATCTGCCTAATCATTCTTTTCACTGCCTTGATTGCTTCTACTGTGACCATAATTCTCTGTGACAAGTTGTTTTCCTCATCACTGTCTCAGTGCTACCACAGCTCTTGCTTCCATTTAGGAAAAACATTTTCCAGTTTTCCTTTCCCCAACAGGAACTGTCACATGTCCCCTCCTTCTTCTGTAAGAGTTCTGCTACACATAGCTCTGGTTTCCTCTTCAGTAGTATGTACCATGCTGCAATACAAATCAACAGTACCCAAAACCATTGTGTTTTCTAGCCTATTAACTTTGTTCAGTAATCATTTGTGCATTTCTGATCTCTTTTCACAGTATATCCACAGTGACCCTAGCTATTTCAGTGTGGCGATAGCTAGGTAACAATGATGATTATTTGTCCTGAAATTAAACGGTAATTTTGTTAGTTAATCCTTATCTCATATCTAAACAAGAATAGGCTTCCCACATTCCAGGTAGAATGTCAGTAAGCTTATGCACTTTAAGAATGTATGAAATAGGTTCTGAGGAAGCACAGTGCTCAAGCCATCAACTTGCAATACAACAACTTTACATTGTTATAACCAAGCTTGGTTATTGGAGATGGTCCAATGTGTAGGAGATAGGGAGATGAAGGAACTGTAGGATCTACTGATCTTGTGAGGACATAGGGACTGTATGCTGGAGTATGCATGCCAGGGCTTTATATCTTGGTATTGTTCTGATATGGACTCTGTTCCATAAGAATGTTTCAATGACTGAGGTTTTTCATATGCAGCTTGTAGGTTCTTAGTATCTATAGACAAGTAAAAATTGTAACAAATGCTGTTTTACTTAAATAAAATTTGAAACTTTTAAAATGTAGCCACAGTTCTGGCCCTATGAAGGACAGGATGTTTGTTAATAAATCAAAGCAAGTAATAAAAGAATAAGAGCAATAAAACGTCCTTTCTTGTAGGTGAAGTGCTCAGTATTGAACGGCAGTTCTGTTATTGATCTGTCTCCTCTGATCCATCGCACTGGGTATTATGAGGCATTTGTGGATGAAGATATAACAGATGTTTCTCCAGACTTCTACATCAACATTTGTGAGCCTCTCAATCCTATCAAAGATGTCAATTGCCCACCTGGAGCGGCTGTTTGCATGGTTCCTGTTAATGAATTGCCAATAGTAAGTACTATGTCTGGAGTCACCAAAACGTGCATTTCCTGCTAGTTTAAAACAGTATCCCTGCCTAGAGACCTGATTTGAACCAGAGGCTTGACAATGGGTTAAAGAAATGGAATACAAAATTAAAATCTACCCTGCAAAATTCCCTTTCATCGCTTTTCCCCACGAAGTATTTTCCTATCCTGAACCCCGGTGATTTTTTTGGGTGTCAGAAGATTCCATACAGTGACAAATATGAAAAATTACTACAGCGAATTTTTTCATAGTGCTGTGCACCAAATACAGAGACTGGGAAGCAGAATGCCTCTTAGTCTGCCATTCTGTGGCACAGAAATGGTGTGTTTGATCCCATGATAGCCTGTTGCAACATGAAGGAGGATATGTGCTAGCATGCTCCAAAATGCATTTAGTATTTTCATGTAAGAACTTGACAGCAGCATGAATAGCAAGCCTGTGACAGAATATTGGTTAACTTGTCTGTGTTATTACCTTGAGAAATGGAAGTTTTTACCTTTTGAGGTCTTGTTTGTGAGCTGTAAAAGATGCACATAAAAAGTTGAGATTGTTTTCCATGAACTTCCACATTGATCTACGGACCTTACTCTATTGTTAATACTACACTATTTTTAAGTGATGTGTTGGTATTTTGGCACAATGATTTCAAGAAGAATCTACTCGTAAGACGCAGAACCTCCCTGGCTTTTGTCAAGCTTAATCAGAGTATTTTGAGCTGCTCAACTTGTGTTTTGTTAGGATTGAAATAAAACAGCTGTTCTTTGAATATAGAATGCAGTTTTCAAAAGTGCAATAGTTGTGCTCCCATGTAAACCAAACAGATGAATCTGAATTGATCTGAATTTCTGGGCTGATCTGAAATCTAGGTTTGTCCCATATGTCTCTTAATACATATTTTTGCTTGTGTAGGATATTGGTCGTGTTACTGAACCTCCCAAGTTAAATGAGGCTGTAAATGAAGTTTACATCATTTACAACAGCACTACTCCTTGTCAGATAAACAACAAATTGAACTATACTTCTCTTATTGTATTTCACTGCAGCCAAGGAACTAGTCTGGTAAGACATCTATTAAACTTATGTTGATATTGGGGTGCAATGGGAAGTGGGTAGTAACCAGCATTAGCTTTGTTTAAAACTAAGTCAAGGATTTGTTTCTAGCATGTAGGGATGGTCTTGTTTCAACAAGGAGTATACTTAGCATTTGTATTCTTAACTACTTAAATACTTAAATACTTAGTATTTGTATTCTTAACCAGGCAAAATTTCATAGCATGCATGAACTTTAGGCTTGAGAGTAGCAGGTTCTGATGGTTTCAAGGATCAGATTCCACTGAACTAATGTAGCGATAACCTATTGTTGGCATTAAACTTAATGCTGTATTGCACCTTGTCTAAGTCCAAAAGCTAACACAAGAACCAGTGTAACTGTTTGTAAAGCTATTACTGTGGAATGTTTCCCCTCTGTTGTAACCCTTTCCATAATCATACACAGCTTCAAAAGTTTGCATTTGGATACTTAAGTTTTTATTTTGTGTTGACACCTGAACACTAAATTGACGTTGCATGGTGGTGCGAATCTAACACTTCTTGAATTTTTTGAATGTTTTAACAAACTGTAGAGAACCACTTAGGTATGATGTTTGTCAAACTGGATCTTATTTGAGGTGCTCAGTGGAACCATTTTCTATCAACATGGGGCATGAGCTGAAACTCTAGGCAGCTCTGAATATTACACAGGCCATACTCATATTTTTATTTAAAGTATGACAAAGGAAACAGCATTCTTTCTAAACCTTAACTCAGCGAACTTTCTTAATGTTCTCTACCATGGAGAAACACAGCTCTCACATTTTTGTTGCTGCTTTCAACTAAGCTGAACATCAAAATCTTGACCCTAATTAATAAGAAAGCTCGTGTACTTCAATTACTGCTTTGATTGTTTTCTGGAACTAGGTAGAATGTACTTCACTTGTAGCTTTTTTGGTACTGGTTGTAATACGAAGGCATGGTGTTTGTCCTGCAGTCAGTAAAGTCTAGCCTTGGTAATAATTGAGTCTAACTGTTGCAGAGAGGAGGGAGGGAATGCAAAAAGAACAACAAACTCTCCACAAATTAAACCTAATGTATCTTGCTGTGTTCTTTGGTAACAGGGCAAGCCAAAGATGATAAGGAAGCTTGACTGCAGTTTTGTGTTCGAGTGGGAAACTCCAGTTGTGTGTCCTGATAAAGTGAAAACTTTAGGCTGCTCTGTGACTGATGAACAGCTACACTATACTTTTAACCTGACCAGCCTTTCTGGAAGATCATTCAAGGTAATGCCTTCTGGTGGTATGTGGCTTGGTTTTTTAAATTGCCCATTGCTGTCAACATTTTAAAACTGAAGTAGGGGTTTCTTTTAAGCATCCTGGAGTGTGAGAGGAGTTTGAAGCATGTGCTGCAGCTGTGGTCAGTGTTGATATTTGTTGGGCTTCTGACAGAGGGAATAATATTAGAGGGAGTAACATCAATTTTTTAGTGTTTTTGAGAGGGAAATTCATGGATATACTGATGGGGAAAGGAGGGAGAAATCTTCACCTGTGGCAGAATCCTGAACATGAAAACAAGTCTGCTGAACAGACTATATCCTTGGTCCTGTGGGTGTGCTTTATCTGCAGTTTTTCCATATTAAAGGCCAGACTTGCAAAATTAGTTATCTTATTTTCCTCCTGCATTATGCAAGTACTGTGTGAGACTTGGTTTATAAAGCACATGGGTGGTTCTTCGTAAGCATTGACTGTAGGCTCTGAGGCACTCGTTTATGACGCTTCTGGATGTCCACACAGGTGCTTTCTGGATCTAACAGTTACCATGTTGGTGTATGCAGTCAGGCAGCAGACGTGCCCCAGGGAAAATGCAAAGATGGGGCAGTGTGCCTGACATCTGAAAGTGGTGTGTCATCTTTTGGAAACATAAAAGAAATGAAAATGGACTATAGCCACCAGGATGAAACGGTCATCTTGCAGTATACAGGAGGTGATCGGTGCCCTCCAGGTGAGATTGAAGCAGATCCATTCTTTATGTAAAAACTTGGCAGCTTTTTTTACCCTTAAAATATGAGGTTTTGTTGTGATAGGAGGGAAACAACATGGATTTTGCATACGTTAATAGAAACATGTAGTTCCATTAAATCACATGCACCATACTAATCTGCAATGTCAACATGTATCTCCTAGAAGAGAGAGTGCAACTTTTCTATAGGAGTGCTAATTGTACGCTACATCCTGATTTTCTAGTTGGGTTTAGACTCAATGTTTCAGTATTTCTATTGTCTGCCTCTGCCTATGACTGTTCTTCAGTATTGAAGTACAGGGTTTGGATATGCCCCTGAATATGGATATGCTTGCTATTCTACTGCAAGTTATTAAGAGGATATACCTTTCCTTCTCAGTGACTGAAAAGGGAGAGCTTTGTGTGTTCCCCTTCAAGTACAAAGGGAAGACCTATAAGGAATGTATTACAGAAGAAAAGAATAGGCCATGGTGTGCTACAACTGAAAACTACCAGGGAGATGGAAAGTGGGGATTTTGTGGTAATGGTAAGAACTTTCTATATTTCACTTGCAAGGATCTGAGCTAACATGGGGAGTTAGCCATTATCAGGCTGGGCAGAAGACCTCTGGTGCAATACAGTGGAGGTGAAGGGGTAGGAGTGGGCAAGACAAGGAATCTATGGGACAAACCTGACTACTCAAGTGAGTGAGCAAAATACTTTTGAAATAAAAAGTTCGTGTCTTTGGATCATGAGTGTTCAAGTCATAAGTGATGACTCTGCTTTGATGGAGATCAGTCATTTTGGAAGGAACGCTACTTTCTAAAAAGCATGAAAGCTAACCTAGGGAATAAAATTGCTAGGTAAAGCATTTGTGCCTCTTTGCTACCTGAAGCAATACCTGATTAAAATTTTTGTTGATGCTGCAAAATTGCTACACTAAAATCCATACATGCCTGAAAGCCTCTTGCAAAGTAATTTTTTCTTTTTTTTTTTCCAACCTTCCCCCGTATAGCAACTGCAAGAAGGGAATCTACCATTATCTTCACATGTGATGAAAATGCTGGTGTTGGGAGACCACACCTTCTGAGTGAGACACTTGGCTGTGCTGTGACATTTGAATGGAAGACTCAGGCTGTTTGTCCTCCCAAGAAGATGGAGTGCAAGTTTGTCCAAAAACACAGAACTTATGACTTGAGAATGCTCTCTTCCCTGACGGGATCATGGATCTTTTTCCACAATGGGAACTCGTGAGTAATGAGCAACTCCCAGGGAGCGGCTTGCTAATCACTACAGTTGAAGTTGTAGTGTGACATAATATTTCTGTTTGGTTCCTGTTCAGAGTCTGTTTAAATTGCTGATAGTGTCTTAAAACTGTCGATGCTTAACACCGCATGTAGACAAAAAACCAGAAAGGAACCCATTTTATCTGAAGAGGATGAATAATTATTGTCTTCATCCTCACCCCTTCCCTCTGTTGGTTACTCTTTTTAAAGGATGAGTAAGTCTCAACTAAAAGCGTTTTAAAGGCTTTCTATTTAAACTGCTAGCTTAACAAAGTAATTTTGTAGTTTAAATGCAATTTTTTGGATTCTTAACTATGTCGAACAAAAATCTTAATGACTTTGCTGCTGTCTTTTGACTCAAGTGTGTAACTTTTTGTCTAAACTTTAAGTAGGGCTTTTTTTCCCCTCATTCCTCTAAGAATCAGCTTAGAGGAAAATATGAATGGCAGGAACTCATCAACCTCTCCAGCCTCCCCCCTCCAGTTAGCAAATAGAAATGAACTGGCAAGCGTGAGAGCATCTAATTCTAAACTTATGATAAACTGTGGGGTAACAAAACTGTTTCATTCACCACCTTGCTTAAAACTTAACTGGTATAGCACGCAAGAGATGCTGAATTTAGTATAGTAGTATAACCTTTATAGCTAAAAAAAATTTTGGGCATTTCTTGACTCAGTTCCAATTTCTAGTTTTGACCTAGGTCAAAATTAACTAGTGAACTAGTCTGGTAAATGATCAATTTTTTTGCACAGAGTCATTTACTTGAAAATGATAGTTAGAAGTAATCTGCTAAACCTTAGTGCGTGCTTTATTCTGTCAGCTGATTATAGAGTGTTTAACTTCTTTCAACCTGGCTAGCTTCCCTGGAGGATTCTAAAGTTTATATCTCACTTCTTCAGTTTAGCCTAAATTAGTTTTAAAGAAGTTTTGTCTACCGTGTTCTCTATAGGTACTATGTGAATCTCTGTCAGAGGGTACATGAGGGACCCACAGGCTGCCCTGAAAGAGCCAGTATTTGCAGGAAAAGCAACAATGGAGATGTTCAAGTTCTTGGACTTGTTCATACACAGAAGCTGAATCTGACAGGTAGAGTTACTTTTGTTCCTGTAGAGAGCTAGAGATGGTTAAATCTTACAACCTAGCTATAGTGGTTCTTAAATTGTGGTGAAGCTTTTATTTTGAAATATCTTTACCAGTGAATCTTCTGTTTAAAACCAAAACCAGTAAATGCTACTGCCAAACTTAAAAGTGGTGTTTCAGCCATGAAAAAACATTGAAGCAAATAAAGTGTTGTCATTAAAGCTGTAAGAAGTGAATTGTCTGTCTGAACATCAAGAAACACTTTTTTACAGTGAGGGTAACTGAACACTGGCACAGGTTGCCCAAAGAAGTTGTGGAGTCTCCTACCTTGGAGATACTCAAAAGCCATCTGGGTATAGTCTTGGGCACGTGGCTCCAGGTGGCCCTGCTTGAGCAAGGGGATTGGACCAGATGACCTCCAGAGGTGTCTTCCAACCTCAACCAGTCTGTGATTCTGTAACTGTGGGAGGGGGGGAATTGTTTTTGTTCATCCCGTTTTGAAAGACTTGTTCTATGTCACTGACTTCTTCAATTAAAGCAGCATGTGAAAGATGACTAATTGGCTTCACTCTTAAGAAAAGGAATAAAAAACTCTCAACCTTACTCAAGTTTTCAGTTTAAAGAATACTTTCTAAATTGCTGCTGATTTTATGAAATTGAGGGGAATTTTCCATCCAGCTACAAAAACAATGAGATGTATTGCATGTGTTTATTGCCCGAGTTTGTTTATAAATGGATATTTTTGTTTACTCTTATGGTTAAAAAATTATGTCTTAAATGTAAACATTCCTTATGGCCGTACTGGTGACCTGAACACACGGTATGATGTAAATACAAAGGTGTTTGAGGAGTGATTTTTAAATGATCATCAGTGTGAAGGCCTCAAATTACTGAAGTGCTGTAATTGATATATGGTCTATGCAGGGGAAAAAAAAAATCCTAGAAGTTAATCTAAAGTAATGAAGTCTGGAGAATGAGCAAAGGGAATTTCTGACAGCTGCTTACAAAAACCTTGACTGTCACCATTTTTCTCTTCTAGGTGATACAGTGTATATTAGTTACTCCAGTGGGCAGGAATGTAGGAAAAACAAGAAAGTAACGACAATTATAGAACTGAAGTGTGCAAAAACAGTTGGCATGCCCATGCTGCAGAGGTGAGTAACAAATTAACATACCACTCATCCTCATGGTTTATTCCTTTGTACCTCTCTAGTAAACTGCAAGTCTCTGGACAGTGACCGTCTGTTCTATTGGACAGTCCCTAAAATAATCCTTGGTCTGTACTTGTAAGACATGGATCTTCTGGAGTTTCTGCACCTGTTCACTTCCATAAACAATTGTATTCTGTATTTATCTTAAAATTTCTGGGCAAAAATGTAAGCATTCTACTTCCGAATTAGATCTGACAATGGCTGGGATGATGTTGTTTTCAATGTCAGTTGTAGTACAACCACTTTTAACTTTGCTCAAAATCTGTTTAATAGAAAACACTTACTGTAGGTAAGTGATTGAGCTATTAAAACATGGTTTATTGTTGCCTCAATACAGATTATTTAACTAGAAGCTGTCCAAAGTGAGGTATATATGCATGATCAAAAATACTGAGAAAGCTTGATGGCTTTTTGCTCAGTCTTGTTTTGGTTTACTGTATATTGTTTGTAGTATTGGGAAATTGAGCAAGATGCTCTGTATGAGTCAAAGAACTAGGCAGCAAAATCTGACTACCTTATTATACTCCTTGTCCTAGTTAAATAATGTGCAGCATGTTAACCCTGCCAAGAGCAGCCTGATGTGTTTGTTAGCTAAAGTATTTTGATAAAACCCTCCGATACACTGTGACTTCTGGAACTTTTGAAATAGGAAGTTCAAGTGGAGCCAGGTCTTTTTATGTCTTGGAACTACAGAAAAGTGCAGTGCAAGTCTTCAAGTAGCCAAGTAGTGCTTTC